TGTTGCAAATGTAGATTTCCAACTCAGTGAGGATATTCCCCGGGCATGTAGCTCATAGGAGATTTGAACGCTCCATTTATTGCCACTTAATCGAAGCATCTTGTTTTTGATAAAATGCAGATCATTCATGGTTCAGAAAATCATCAATGAATAAAAACAAATGATTTAATAAAACTCCATAGAGATACATGTGCCGTGAGTTTTGTGCTACTAGGCATGATGTTTGAGATACGTTAAACGCCAGTGTAGAAGCAGAAGATTACGTTTACGTTGAACCTATTTGGAGTCTATTACGGACTGATATTTGTGATTAACGTGATGAATGACTTTGTTCTCTGAATGTTCAGTCTTTGGCTTCAGTTTCAATCTATTATGTTTATCAGTCTCTTGTCAGCAGGAGATACGCATCGTTGTGCATATGCTGTTGAAGTTGACATATGATGATAATAGTGAAAGAATGGGGAAGCAACCCAATAACATCATTTAAGACTTATTGTTTCCCGATTTGTATTGGGCCGATGTACAGTGCGTATCAAAAAAACGCAACAGATTGTTATCTCGGAAAAGCACAAAACCAGTGATAACAGCATTGATTTCATTCAACGCACCATAAAGTCACGTGTCTCCTCTTTGATATTTGGCCATGGTTGGGCGAGTAATCATTCCATTTGCAAATTGGGCCAGAATTAGCTTGGGACCAAGTTATAAACATCGCAAAAGTCAGTGTACGGAGCCCATGCAATATTGGACACTGTGGCTAGTCGATCTATGTGGATGCAGTCATTTATATGCAATGTATCGTGGGTGCTCGCCTATGTACTTTTCAATGGAAGAATTTTGCACTTCTGTTTAAATAATCTATATTTACTCATCCGTGTATTTCATACTTCATTGATTTACAAAACCAAAGCTACGCTATAAACACACATTCTCTGATATTTTTACGGAGAATAGATAACTCAAACGAGTTCACTCGACCAGTTTTATCATCTCGCTCATAGCTGTGAGAAGATATGTATAATTTGCCATAGGTTTACCTTATAATGGGGAATAAAAAATTCAAGTAATATGATTATTTCACGTACACAAATATGTCTGTGTGAAGTAAAATACAAATACAATGCGTTTTATAATATTTTTTGGGGTTATGGAATGAAATATCCGCTTTAAAAAAGCAATTTAATTATGATGTATCTTTTGGATTAGTAGACGTTCTTAATGGATTCAATTGGTTTTAATTGAATCATTTTGAATGTGTGTATTTTTAATATTTTAATCTACAGTGTCCAAAAACAATAATAATGCACACGATTTAAAAAAAATTGGAAATAGATAATATTATTCTTGAATTTGGGTCATTTGTTTCAAGGAATCTGTAGGCTAGTTCAGCTGAGCTGACAAAATCATCAAGATTTACGGATGGTCCATCTGTTGGCTGCTCATTGTCACTTTTAAGGAATGTTAATGGCTCAGAAACTTGTAGCCTTGCCCAAGTCGGTATTTATTTACTAATATGATCTTGAGTTATTACCACCTTGTACAATCCAATGCATCATCGCTGATATTATGCTAAGTTATTCAGCGGTTCCGAGATTCCCATAATACCTACGCTACCTAAGGGTATCGTGACTTCAGGCTGATTGACCAATCGAAAGAGAAAGAGTCGAAGGCATGCGAGGCGAATCCTGGAAACCCGGGTTCGGGAAAGCAGGGTTCACTGTATGTTTCCGTTGACAACTGTGCGAAACTACATTCATAATTCATACGAGAGTGAACAGGAGGTTTACAGTCAGACCCGGGTACGCCAATCCCTTATTTAAATGTGTGTTTCGCGGACCAGGGTTTAAGGCCATTCCAAACGAAATAAGTGTTTAATGACGCCACGAAATATAAAAGTTCGTTTTATTAGAAATTTATACGTGTTATTTTTTGTCTACCAAGACATTAAACATATTAGAAAAAGTTATAAATTATGATTGGTCTAAAATGTGCAAAGCTAGAAGACCCCTTATATTCGTTCGTTCTCTATTTTGACTAAGATAATATATCAGGACAACGGCTACTAAAGCAAGGAAAAATTGACCAGTAGAGATGAGGAACTTTACATACATTTATTTTTATTCATAAATATGAATAATATTTGATTTAAATACATAACGATCTATTACCATCCTCCAGTGTTGACAATTTCTGTTGTGTCAGTCTCGGCCAAAATCTTACAATATTACAATTGATAACGAGAAACTCTTCTAATAAAAGCAATTAAATCCAGGTTTGAAAACTCCCGAAAATAACACGAATGACTCTAATTATGAACCGTTCACATTTTTGCAAAGGCGGATTTGGATGACGGCAAACCCGAGTTTTGAGGGCGCATCATACAAGGCACTTTATAACCCTATGCGCAAAACATCTCGTTAAAAGTCCGTTGCAGTTAAGTTAACATATCCATAGTTAAGAGTTAATTACGAGGAACCCTTCTTATAAAAACAATGAATATTCTGGTTTGAAAAGCATCGAAAATAACACAAACGAGTCAAATAATGCACCGTTCGTTTTTTTGCAAAGGCGGGTTCGGATGACGGCAAACCCGGGTTTTGAGGGCGCGACTTATGGCAACGAGTGCTTCTGAATCGAAAGGTTATCTGATCTGATCGAGTGTTTCTTGAGGGTTACAATATATTATGTTATTACATTGGAATGTAAGCAGTCATTAATATTCGTATAATGAAATCATGCAATTCAATGTTGATTCAAAATCAAAACTGAATTCGCGATGGAAATGCACGAAGACCTAGTCCGGCGATGTAGGGCCGTCGTTGATTGGTCAAATTTTACCGACAAAAACATTGGGTCGGTAAAGCACGTGGCTTTCTCTTGGGTACAAGGCGGTCATAATAGAAATCAAGATAAGTAAAAGAGACCGACTTGGGCAAGGCTATGAAACTTGATCTGTGGGTATTCCAGTGTGTTGATGAGTCTTTGGCTCTGAATTCACTTCATTGGCGTACCTAATCTCAACATTTTCATTGTCATCATTACATGTTATGGACCCGTTTTTCAAATTAACAGTATTAGGGATAAAACCATAGATTTTTCATCTGTAATGGCATTTTCCAGTTGATGGGTTTATATATAGTATTTTCAATTCTTCATGAGGGTGTCTTGAAATGGTGTGGCTAATTACTTTACTGAATGAGGAATGTTTATCCAAACAATGAATACAAAGAAAATCTGGCCAGTTGGCCATCAGTAAATAAATCATCATGATAAAAGTATAATTTATTATAGCATCCATTTGTTACCGTTCTGAATCCAAATGATTACCCTGCGTGCAGAGTCTAGTTAAACTACAGACGAAGCTCTCTTTAAGAAGTGAAGTCAAACGAATGCAAAGGGTACCAAATGATACATAGTGGCATCCATTTTATACATATATATGTTAAAGTTTACGAAATGTTTTTCAAATATCTTCCCTATAGGAATATGGTAGCTGAAACGTTCACACATTGTGATACTATGCATATTGAATATGTATGCAAGATTTCAAGTCACAATGTTAAGTAAAAACTCTGAGATCACTTACCTCGATTTGCTGTCATACTTTTGCAATGATCCCATTCCCTATAATGTACGCGAGCACCCACAATACATTGCATATAAATGACTGCATCCAAATAGATCGACTAGCCACAGTGTTGGAAGAAAACATAAAACCAATGCTGACTGAATCCTTTTCATTCAATATACCATTTACTCCTCTTTGCAATGGAATATCATTCATTCACAGGGAGTCACGGCTGACCGAATAATCATTAATTTTGCAAAATTCAGCTCGGACCAAAGTTTTAAACATTACAAAAGTCAGTACAAGGGGCATAGGGGCTATTGGAAGAAGGTGTGACAGGTGTGGCATAGACAGTAAAGTGTTCATACGCATATTCTTGCAAGAATACATCCTATATCCCTCCAAATTGCCACCACTTCCTTGCACATAAAGAAGCGCTCTTCTGTCCACGTCATGCATGGTTCAGCCCTGAGTCATCTATGGGTTAAAGCAGAGAAAAGCAGCCCATGGGCAATTCTTTCTCAAGGTTTTGCAATATCTGGTGGAGGAATTGTGAGCACAGATGCTCCTGAGATAGCTCCAAAAGAAAAAGTCACAACAATTCCAGTCAGGGCAACTTACATCGGCACTTAGCCCTTGCACTGATTTTTGCAATATCTAAAACTTGGTCCAGAGCCGATTTTGACCCACTGTGCAAATGGAAGGATTTCTCACCCAACCATTACCAAACGTGAATGAATGACATATCATTGCAAAGAGGAGAGACGAGGCTTTATGGTACATTGAATGAAATTGATGTAGTCATCACTAGTTTTGTAATTTTACGAGGTAACTACTTGTTGCGTTTTTTTGATACGCCCTGTATATAGAGAGTGGTACTTTGATATTGCTTGAATTTTTATAACTATCATAAATAAGTAGCTTGTAAAACCAATTGGTATTATTAGATTCTCAGCGATATAATGCAATATGAAATGTGATTAGCCAATACAACTTTGCTATTATTGAATCTAACCATCCCACTGGCATACAGTTTGTTTTGTGCATTTGTATTTCCTCGATGTCTTTTTTATTACGGCATCTGTAACAATTGTTATTCTGAACTCTGAAAAGTTATATACGCGAGTCGCAGTCCGCGGTTGTCTCATCAAATTGTCCACCTCGATGGCTTTCGCCAGGTGAGATATTATTATAATATACCATATTAATGCCTTGGGCACATTTGCTCCGATTTTCACTACGGTGCCCGGCCGATTGAGTATTTTGTTCAAAATTGAATACAATATTGAACAAAACACTCAATCGGCCGGGCGTCGGCCGATGGATCGGAGCACATGTGGCCAAGGCATAAAGTATTATATATTTACAAACACGTGCCAATAACCACAGACAAACGTTTTCATCAATACCAACAAACTGTATAAACACTTACATGTAAGGAAACACAGCAAGATGTGTTCAAATAATATTCCCATGCGTATCTGTAAATCCATGTCCGCTATAACAAGAGATTGTATCCATAAATCAGCATTAACTTTTACATTCACCTGCGAATCTGTCAGTTTTGTTTTACTTTGCGTTAGTTAATCAAGCGGCATCCCAGATTAGTCCTATAACATCATGAACAGTCGACAGCAAACGCCAGATTGATCGCTGTTGAACTTATTCTTGACGCGCCTTCTGGAATGTATTTGTAACTGGCTTTGAGTATTGGAAGTTCATTAATATAGAATTGAATTGACATAGTTGTCAATGTGACCGAATCTTAAAGGAATATTTTGGAGTTCGGGGCTCAGTTTCTCCAATCTCACCATTTTATCTAGTTCGAGTCAATACTTTCTGACGGCAAAAGGCTGTCACTATTAGCTTAATTTTAGCTATTAATATACCAAATTTCGAAGAATGTTTTGAAAGTATAGAGTCAGAATTGCAAAATAAGGAAAAACTATGAATTTGATGTAGATTTTGACCTAGGCATTTTGGTGACCAAATTTTGTATCTAGGGTGCTTTTGAGGTCACCTTCTTTTAAAGGCTTTCGTTATATTAATCTTTTTTTCCCATGGAATTAACATGGGGCACCAAATTTAGCGATTTCTGAGCTTTTTTGAGATTTTGACCTTGGGATTTTGGTGTCCAAATTTGGAAGCTAAGTAGCCTTCGAGGTCCCCTTCTTTCATAGGCTTTCATTATATTAAGCTGTACTCAAAAAATCTTTTTTCCCACTGAATTAACACGGGGCACCAAATTTAGCGATTTTTGAGCTTTTAAAACGCCATAACTTCCAAACCGAAGTCGGATTCCGGAGAAAATTCTATCCTTAATCCATAACTCATACCTTAAATTTGGAGAACTTTTTATTTTGACTTACTTTTCGGACACTTAAACAGGCAATGCGCTTATTTTAGAAGGAAAAAGGACAAAATATTATTTGAGACACGTCACTCACACAGTCATATGATAAAAACTTTAATTTGGGTCAATACTGAAGTGAAAAAAAAATTACTCGCATAGAAAATAGCATTTGAAGTTCAGAATTCAAAAGAAGTGAATTACCACTTTTCACAAAGTGTATGTTTTTAAATAACTCTTGGACTAAAAGATGGTGTATGGTTGAAAATCCTATCAAAAATTAATGGAAATTTAATGCAAACAACACTGGCATCTTTCTATGGCATTGCTAAAAACTTGACATCTATAAATTGATAGATCAAAAATATTTTTCGTGATCTAGTGTCAACTCTGATGTGGTCTGTTTGAGCTGTTTTTGGTGTCAAATGATAATATCAGGTACTTATTAATCCATTGGAAATACTATGAAGATCAAAAGTGAGACTTCATTTACACACTCTGTCCCTTTAATAGATATCCTGAAATCTGATTTGCCTTGAACCACCATTTCCACGGGAATGACAATTTTTAAATATTCATCAGTTATCAATTTTCGACCTATTGTAATTGAGGGAAAATTTGGAAGTATGGGGATTAAGTCATGTAACATCTCTATCTTTATCATAAGTACTTTCGTTGCAGGTTTAAAAAAATCCAAACAAATCGAGACTTTAAAACGTACTTCCAATTGGCAGCTAATACGTGGTTTGATCGTATATTTTGGGAAGACCCTGGAGCATGATTTTTTACTATAAGAAATATCAATTATTTCGCACAATTTATTTTTAGCTCATTCGAAAACTGCTTAGCTTCATCTTGGACAAATCTTTGTGTTTATAAATGATACAGGGTGGGCAATAAAAATGAGACACTTTGTATCATTTTTAGAAGTATTTATGATCACACAGGCGAACCATGTATTACATACCAAAAGATGGGGAATTTATTCAGCTTTAATAAGATTCTTGAAGAAAATGTCGAATATGTCTCCCTCTACCTTAGCTCTAAATCTTAGAAAATTCATTACTGTACATTATACATGCTTTAACCTTTGCTACCATTCATGAGTCCCTCTATCCTCAGTTTGTATCATTACCCATTGCGTAATCAACTTATCATCATAGCATAGTTCCATTTTGCATAGAAATCTTGATTTCAGTTTTTTGGAACAATTCCTACAAGAGGACCATATAAACGCTATAGTTTCTGTAATAAAAAGTCACAATGTTGTCACAGTTTTATTCTTAACATAAAAGGGGTTGTCTAGGCTACAAATAACTATTGATATTTTGGAAATATGAGTAAAATTATGGAACAATAAGGAAAAAAAAGTAATTTGCCTAAAATCGTTGAAATTATGAGAAATTTCAAAAGCTGTTTTTCGAGGTAATGCATCATGTTTCTTGCTTAACCCCCTAATTCTCATGACATTTGGTTTATATTTTGCTCTTTATATGTGAGTGTCCTATTTTTATTTGCCCACCATGTATATATGATTTTACAGGGTGGTCCAAAAAAGTGAACCCCTACAGGCTATATTTTCCTTAATACTTGCACGAATAGACTCAAATTATCACATGTTATAGAGAAAGGTCTAACATTTTTGTTGATGCTATAATTTCTGAAGAAATTACAAGAGTTTAGCAAAAATGCCTGAAAATTAGATATTGTGCAAAATTTTACCAATGTGATTCACAGAAATTGTTGAAACACATTGGATGATCTTAAACAGCTTTCAGCTAGAGATACAAGTTTAAAACCCTACAATATGACAAAAGGGACACTATTTAAGCAGAAAACACATTTCACACTTTCATTGATCATTTTGAAGCAGTTTTAACCGTTCAACAGTTCAGGGGTATGTTACCTACACCAACAGTTAGAGGAGGGCCTTTTGTGGAAGGAAGTTGCCCCCTGTGACCAGAAATCTGAGAAGCCCTTCATCAAATATTTTTAAAAAATCAAAAGATAATCTAATATTCAATGTTTGAGCCATATTTCATTCGAATCGGTCCATGATCTATGAAGATATTGACATTTCAAGATCATATAGGGGTATGTTCGCGATTTCACTGGAAAATGTTATCGTCTATGGAAGCTTAGAACATTTCTTTGGATCACAAGAACTTTGAACTCACAAAGGTAGAATGCTAATTTTAAACCATAATGTGCGGGATTCAAGATTCAACAAAGTGAGAAAATATTAGTTCTTAAAGACTGCAGCTTAAAAAATGTCAGGGGAAGGGTGTTGAAGGTTTGAAGAATCGCGGATATTGAAAATCACATTTTATCCATTTTCAGTACTATTTGGTTAGGGCTTATAATTTCTGCAAAATTCAAGACTAAGAAAAATGTATGGTGCCAACATAAATTGTAGACCTTCATCTACAACATGTGAAAATATAAAAGAATTCCTGCAAGTAATAAGGGAAATATGGCCCATTGCATGGGTTCACTTTTTTGGACCACCCTGTATATAATAACTCATTACAAATGTTTTTATTTCTGATTCAATGCTTATGCCTTGTTCACATTTGTCCCGATTTTCACTACGGCGCCCGGCCGATTGAGTATTTTGTTCAAAATTGAATACAATATTGAACAGAACACTCAATCGGCCGGGCGCCGGCCGATGGATCGGAGCAAATGTGACCCAGGCACTACTCAAAAGCTCCGGGGACTTCTCAACAAATGTGTCTTTTAAATACAGGGTGACACAAAATGCCACACACTAATTTTGGAATAACTTTCTCAATAATGAAGGTATCTTCAACATTTTTATGTGAAAATAAAGTGTTTAATGGAAAAAAGATTGATATGCTTGCATAGCATCGATAACTTGGAAATTAAGAGATATCTCATTTTCCGCGGACCCATGCGCGCTCTGGCACAAAATCAATCAATAATGTAAATTAGAAAACCTGTCTTTCTTAAAATTTACTTAATAGGCGAGACAGATCAACAAATTTGACAAAATGATTTGGGAAAAATAGGTAGATATATGTGACATATATTCGTGATTATATATGTGCAATCTAGTGAAAGTAATCCACTCGGAAATGACTCAAATAATGGCTCAGATGGAAATCCCAGATTTCAGGAAATTGAAAATTTTTTAACGATTTCACAGAGAGCATGTCTGTACAAAAATCGTGATATCTCTAAATCTCAAATTTGTTCATGCTATCCACGTAGACCTTTTTTCCATTGAACACTCTATCAACACAAGAAAAATCACAAAGAGTCCTTAATTATTGAGAAAGTTATTATTGGAAACCGATCTTTGTAAGTGTAGGATGTCAGCGTCGTTTTAAAAAAAGATTTCACAATTTAGCCATTTAACCATAGGTGGTTTATTTTTGTCAAATTAGACGTTTCTGATTATTGCTATGAATTTTGCGCAAATTTATTTTGGGGGGGGGAATCCTGACCCGGTCCCTACGGCTAATAATTAGCACACTCTTGGCTACACGTATACACAATTTCGAAGAATATAATTAAAGTGTAGTGTCAGAATTGCAAAAATAAGGGAAAACTTTGAATTTGACCTAGATTTTGACCTAGGCACTTTGGTGACCAAATTTTTAGGAAAAGAAGGTTTTGAGGTCCCTTTCTTTTATGGGCTTCCATTATGTTTAGCTGTACTTACATGTAGTCTATATCTCGTATTTTACAATTCAAAAAAATCTTTTTTTCCTTGAATTAACATAGGGCACCAAATTTAGCGATTCTTGAGCTTTCAAAACGCCATAACTTCTAAACCGGAAGTCAGATCGAAATTTCGTTTTCAGATTTGGAATTCTGAGGAAATAAGCTGAGAGTGACAATGGTCTCCCAATGTTTTTTCATAGCAGCGGGATTTTTTAACAAGTTACACGCAGCTGGCTTCGCTGCTAGCTTCGCTCGCGCACTTTGTCAAATGTACTTCAGCAGCTCCCACAGTGTTACTATTTCTTCACTTGCAAATGTAAATAAACACAAAATCTCATTTAGAAAAACTTTTATTTGATAATACTTCACAATAATATGGTTGTAGTGTTCATTGTTCAGTTCCCTTAAAGCCTCCTGTACCTGCATCTTCAGGGGTGCATTTCAAACCACCTCCCCCATGCTGCCTCAAAATTGAAGACTTCTTCCCTTGGCCCGTTTATGGTTATATTGAGGATCCTGGGCGGGTGAAGCAAGCGGGGGGGGGGGCACGGGGGGGGGGGGTAAACTGAGTGAGCAGGGGGAAAAACCATCATTTAGATTCTGGGGAGAACCTGGAGGCGCTGGTCAGTATCAAGCGAAGGTAACGGCCGTCACCTTCGCATCAAAGATGGCGGAAGGGAAGTGTCGATTTCGATATTTTTAAGTTTCATAGAATTAAACTACTTTAAAGTTGACATGATGCTTTGATATTTGTCATAAACCCGACTTATATGATATGGAAACTCTGGGGTATGATCATTTGTTCATATATCATGTGTGAGCGCCACTGTTTAACGATATCTCCCACCGCTTTTAGCACTGGTACTCACCAGGATTCGTTTCGGTAAGATATTTTTATTTCTCGATTTTACACCACATGTAAGTCAAGTTGTGGACAATAATTTGGCTCAAAGTTGAAGAAGATAGTCTAGTTTGAGAATATGCAGGCGGTTCTATGTTTGGTATATTAACAAAGACGCAATTCACATATTTAGTCCCTCGCTTTTGTTACGCTGACTAAGATCAATGTTACGCCGACGAAGGTGTGACTTGGAGCTGTTGTAACGTTGACGAACCATATTAACATTGGCGTATATTGGGCAAGAATCATGAATACATAGTTCAACTATTTCAGAAAGTCCTGAAAGTTCTAAAATCACGAGGGTGAGGCACTGAGCGTTCAGAGACAGGTATTCGACGAGAAATGAGGATCCTTTATTTACAGATCCCATCATTTTGGTGTGAAATGCAGTAAGGTTAAAACTTTGATTCGAACTTTAAGTTGTACTCAAACCATTTCACTCGGTTTAGTTATGCCATCTTTATGATAGTGAACCATCAACAATTCCAAAAGTTCATTTTAACATGATATTGGTGATATAAAGTCAGCACATGTCTGTTTTTCATAGCATAGCACAGGATAGCATAGCAGCAAAGCATAGCATAGCATTGTACTGCACTGAATAACATAGCATTGCATTGCATTGCATTGTATTGTATTGTACTGCATTGTATTGTATTGTATTGCACTGTATTGTATTGTATTGTATTGCACTGCATTGTATTGTACTGCAGTGCACTACATTGAATTGCACTGCATTTTATTACATTACACTGAATTGTATTGTATTGCACTGCACCACATTGTATTGCACTGCATTGTATTACACTATATTGTATTGTATTGCACTGTATTGTACTACATTGCATTGCACTGTATTGCACTACATTGTACAGCAATATATTGCATTGCATTGCACTGCACCACATTGTATTGCACTTCATTATTTTGCACTGCATTGTATTGTACTGCAGTGCACTGCATTGTATTGTTTTGCACCGCATTATATTGTATTGCACTGTACTGCATTGTATTGTATTGAATTACACTGCATTGTATTGTATTGCACTGCACCACATTGTATTGCACTGCATTTTATTACACTGCATTGTATTTTATTGCATTGTATCGTACTGCAGTGCACTGCATTGTATTGTATTGCACTGCATTGTATTGTATTGCACTGAATTGTATTGTATTGTATTGAATTACATTGTATTGCACAGCACCACATTGTATTGCACTGCATTTTATTACACTGCATTGTATTTTATTGCATTGCATTACACTACATTGTATTGTACTGCATTGACCTGCAATATATTGCATTGCACTGCATTGCATTGTATTGCACTGCACCACATTGTATTGCACAGCATTGTATTGCAATGCACTACATTGTATTGTACTGCACTACATTGCATTGCACTGTACTACATTGTATTGCACTGCACTACATTGTTTTGCATTGTATTGCATTGCACTGCATTTTATTGCATCGTATTGCACTGTATTGTATTGTATTATATTTCACTACATTGTATTGCATCATATTGCACCGCATTGTATTGCATCATATTGCATCGCTTTGTATTGCATCATATTGCACTGCATTGTATTGCATCATATTCCGTATTTACCTTTTCAGTTACAGTTTTATTACATAAAATGTTATTTATAAGATTATAATTTTCAAACATTTTATACAATATCACTCAAAGGATATGAAATGGCCCAAAATAATATATTTTCAATGGAACCCTTTGCAAGGGTCACGTTGTGACAGTCGGTAATATGGATTGTCACTCCTGCAACAATACAACACTTAAAAATTGATGTGCGTTCAATAGCACTAAGCTTGTGAATATTCCCTGAAATATCCGTTTATCACTTCGAAAAAGGCAACATTCATTAGGTTAAATATTATCTAGTATGAGTGAGTGTTCTGATTTGAATAGCTATGCGTGAATTATTTTTTAGTCAATAAGATAATTTCATAAGAGGGGAAGGGGGCGAATCTTTCTATTTGTTGTCAACAATAAATTACACAGAGCAAACCAACACTTGCTAACTTTTGTTATGTGAGAAAGGGAAGAAATTGGACCATTGAGAAAATACTTTTCGCATTTCCACAACTGTCGATGATTGGATCTCTTGAATAATTAAAATGCTTCCCCACTTTTCGACCCGTGCATAACAGGAGGTCCTCAGGCCAAGACAACGCTCTACCAATAACGCTATCAGATCATCCAAAAATATTCGAGCCTCTAATGAATTAAATTGTGAATAGGATGTCAGTTTTGTATCAATATTGGAATGGAATGGAATGCACATATTATAAGAATATATATATATGAGAATTATTACAAGATTTTGATTCATTATCTCAGCTTCAGCTTTACAAATGCTCCGGGCACATGCCACAAATCTAGCCTGGATCTGGAGCTTTTTATACCCCTTGACATTCCAAAGATCAACATTTTTCCTTCGTCAGCGTTACAAAGTGTTCTCGTCAACGTCACATAAGCAATATTTATGCAGATCGTCAACGTTACAAAAGCGAGGGACTTAATATGTGAATTGCGTCTTCGTTAATATACCAAACATAAAGCCGCATGTATATTCTCAAACTAGACTATCTTTCTCAACTTTGAGCCAAATAATTGTCCACAACTTGACTTATAAGTGGTTTAAAATCAAGAAATGAAAATATCTTAACGAAAACGAAGCCCGGAAGTTCTTCCATCTTGTTACGCCGACGTAACGTCAGCGTAACTAGGTGAGTACCAGTGTTAAGGGAAGGTAGCTGGTATTTTGGTTTTACAGATGATGACTGATATGTAGTGATGCGGTAACGTTATGAGAGTTTATACTGGAGAGCTAAGATGTCTCGTTACCGTGTATTGGAAACTAACATGACCGTTACCGTATCTTACATGTCCAGTTACCTTCACTTAACACTAGTGATCCACTCGATTACGCTGGAGTGTATCAGTATCATATGTTTAAGAAAATGTATACATTTGCAAACAAATAGTTCAGAAGACAACGGAATCGTCGATTTAATTCCTCACTTAAGTTACATAAACGGCATTTCGAAAAACAGTTAAGATCTGCACTTTTAACCCCTACCGTTTATGTAACTTAAGTGAGGAATTAAATCGACGATTCTTTTGTCGTCTGAGCTAAATGTATTTTTTTGAATTTTTTGAGAGTGATAATAAGAATGTTCACAGAAAGATGGCAGCGTAGTTATCTTGTTTATACGTATACAACATTCTCTTGGTTGCCATTTCTAGCATATTTTGATCGAATTATAGGTAACAAGTGAACAGTCGATCTAGACCAAAACCAACGAATTGTTTATCTAAATTAGATCACTCATCGTGACTACTTATTATTCGGAGTTTTGTTTAAAAAACATATGTAATGACCTTCGACACCAACGGGGCGTTGAATTTAGCACATTCTCTTTCGAGTCTAGTATCAGGCTCGCTACACTACAGCTCCCCGACGAGCGTGCCCAAGGGTCGTTACACATACTACGTATTACCATCTAATGTAGTAATAAAAAGTATTTATGTTTTATAATTGGAATTCCATGGAAATCTGACAACATGCCTTAAAAACAAACAAAAAATAAATAAATAAATGTGGGAATACCTAATGCTGTGCCATTTTAATTGTAAGAATACTACTAAATGATCAATCACGTTACCGGCAAATAATTCAGCTTTGAGTTCGTTGTTATCACATTCGAGTATCTTTTATAATTTTTCTGTTAATACCTAAACACACACGCCGCACAGTGGTATCTATTTCACTCCGATGTGTGTTAATGCTGATTCAATTAAAACATTATTTGTATAACTACTCTATCAACTTGAGATTCTATAAAGTTTACCAAGCTCCTCATATATGTATTTTTCTCTTGAAGGGCCTCTTTGTATTAAAACGGTACACCCAAAAAGGCAGTGTTCTTTATTACAATCACAATCAGACTGTCATTCGATGCGTCAGACGCATGATAAAACTGCTGTTCCAGCAAAGCGAAGACTCAAACAAAATGTTAGTACATAGATTTACACTAAACCAAAATGCAAACTTAGATTTTAACAGACATGAATATACTTGAATAGAATGACCTGTCTCGTACAGGTACACAGCACATACCGATACATATTTTACTCCTCCTCACATCATACTAGTCCATTGATAGATGCAAAATGTCCTGTGTAAGTATCCAAAGAGAATTAACGATATATTTATGCCTAGTTCTAAATTAACAAATATGAAATGAGTCATTATTAATGTGAAAATAAAAAAAAACAAATAGAAAAAATATGTGGAAATATATCATGTTCCAACGATAGTCTGCTGAAAAGCAAATACAATGCAAATATGTTGTGTGATGCGTGTATATACAAAAGGTGTGAACGGGTCACCATTTCAAACATCTAATGGAGATATTTGTCTTTATTGTGATCACTTTCAGTTAATAAAATTATAATTTATCCATAATCATCTGGAAAAATTGAATGCACTAAACATTATCATATTTTTTTCTAATATAAAAACTGTTTTGATGTTTACATGTAGTTTTCAATATGAAGAACTTATTGAAAGTGAATTCAAATGCTGATTCAAAGTATATTGATCTACTGTTCGTTATTGAAGTACTATAAATATAAAAATAGGAAGAGGTGGCAATAAGACTGTATTATGAATAATTATGAGTGGACTGTATTATAAGTTGAACCAATACTATGACAACTAAGTTAAATAAATAATTATGAGTGGACTGCATTATAGGTTAAACCAATACTACGACGGGTGAAAAATGTTGTATATATGGTATAAAAAAGGGTGAAAATATTGTATATATGGTATAAGAGGGGTGAAAGGCCTGGTATAAGTATATCGCATATGAACTTCCAAGAACCCCCCTTTCACCCCATGTACAGCTGCAAGGGTTATATTGTGACTGAATGCGAACCATTTATAATAGTGCACGTACCATTTCAATTCACTGAATGAGTTTAGATTGATGTTCATGTTACCTTCTTCCGGTTAATCACCATCACCAATCTAAAAAATAAAATATTGGAAACATATGAATGGAAAATAATGATTCAAAAACTCTTAAAGGCCCCATGTAAAGTTTAAACCACTTTGGCTTATATTGTAGTCTTACCCAATGTTATCAAAGTGTGATATGTGAAACTTTTTTTTTTAATTTCAAAAAGTGGTTTTTGATAGACTTTTTGTTCCAAAATTTGTGAATTTATTTAAAACCAACTTTTAGAGGTCACTCATATCTTCTAATTAGCCACATTTCATACCAATGCATAGCATTCATCCTCCCATGTTTTTTGCCGAAAAAATTAAGAAAATCGGTTGATAAACAAGCGAGAAATGAACTTATCAGTGCATGAAAATGGTTCTGAAAATTTTAGTTCTCATAGAAACCAATGGTACAATGATATCTAAAACATACTAATTTATTCTTCCTTTTAACCTGGTTAGACAATCAACATTGGTTTTTATGAAAGTCTAGCATATTTAGAAAAGATTGACATCGAAAAAAAAAAAAAAAATTTCAAAAAGTTTTTGTTACCTTAGTGACATCACTAATGTTTCAAAATATTCTTGATAAGCTAAAACATTGAAGTGGCCCATTAAATATGAAATTTTATTATTGAAATAGTGTGTCTTTTGTTCAATCTTTGCATTGGTGTTAAAAAGATAATCTTTTTTGAAATGCATTCAGAAATATTTGATGATTAAGAAATTTCAACTTTTTTTGAAAAATGGCGGGAAATTTGAATATTTGAGAAATGAAATGCTCACAACTTTTTGTTCAAATTTTTTTTTTTGTTCAAAAATCTCTAAAATCACTTTTTAAGTCCTGACAAATAGTAAATGAATGATAAAAAAATATTTTCAAACTTTAGACGGGGACTTTAACACAACTTGTGTACTTTCAATTTGGTTCTTATATGTTGTCGCAAAATGCTCCATAAATTCAACATATATTAACCCTCTGTAAAGAAAAAAGGTGCATGGTCCTTTATCAATCATATCTTTTTTATTTTTCATTATTATCATACCAAACCTTCAGAGGTATAATGTATGGATACTTTGACCAAATGGAGAAAATTTCAAAGAATTTCGTAAATATGGATGAAAGTTAGAAAGAATTCAATCGAACAACTCCCAAAATCGTGAGTGTGACTTTTTACTATAAATTGACGTCATAAATATGAGAAATCCTATACCCAGCAAAGAAGTGGATCTTCTGAGACATGAATTTAAACTGTTAGTTACGTTTGGAGGAATACACCATTTTAAAAAGTTCTCAATCCAATAAACCTGTGTGAAAAATATAAGTTATAAAATGAAAGTCTGATTAATTAAAACCATTTTCTGATGACATTTGAGGAAGTATCCTTCAGATTTAGAGGTCTCTTCTTAGTTCAAAATCAGGGGTAGGGTTAAGGCGTAAAAATCGTCTAAAATCATGTTTTAGATGGTTTTTGACACTACCATATTTTTTTGCCACTGTTTACTAGTTTTGGATGGACTTTACAATGGTATGAAGAATATAACATATAGAAAATTATGTCCCAGCCTTAGAGGGCAATGTATTACCCTGTATAATACCAATTTGTCATTTATGACGTAGTTTAAAGAAAAAAGTCACATTAGTGAGTTTGTGACACAATGTATTACTCAGTATAATACCAATTTGTCATTTATGACGTAATTTAAAGAAAAAAAGTCACATTAGTGAGTTTGTGACACAATGTATTACTCAGTATAATACCAATTTGTAATTTATGACGTAATTTAAAGGAAAAGTCAAATTAGTGAGTTTGGGACACAATGTATTCAACAATATCTAACTTTTTTTTAAATTTTCATCTAATTTCTTAAGATTTCCACCAGTTATTCACCATTTTTACGCCATATGCCTCCATGAGTTGAGTAATATTATCAAACGTTTTGAAAATGTTATGACTGATAAAGGACCATGCACCTTTTTTCTTTACAGAGGGTAAATGATTTTCATACTAAAATTGGATAGGAATACAATTTGCACACACGTTTTGGAAATAACAAACTATGAAGAAATAAAAAGTTGCTTTTCTTCCTCATTCTTTTTTTTGATTTACTGTTTGTAGTTGTCTCACTTGTAAAATGAGAACTATACTGTAATTAATTAGGATGTTACACAAGGTTCACCCATTGTATAACATAATCTGAAACTATCTAAAATGTGATTCAGTGTATCCAAAATATGAATGTGTTATTTTATAATAACATAACACTGTTGTCATATCTTTTAAGGTTTTATTGAATCATTAAAACATTTGACGCCTCGATGAATATTTGGCCTTCAAACTAATGGACCGCTAATTCCCCCTTTGTATTCCCCAAAAGGTTGTAAGGTACACGGTTTATTATTAAATGGAAAATAAGGTGCACATGTATTTATAAATTACCTATTGGAACATTATGTGGTCATTGAGGTGAATATGTGGTTTCTGTAATATGCAATTATTCTGATTCTGTCTTTTCTCCAAGTAAAAGAACTTTCCATGTATCGCAATGTTTTAAGTTCAGGAATGCCTGATGAATGTGTACTAGATGACCCTAGTAAATCCTTCTATCTTAGTGGAGTTGTTAGCGGTTATACCCTCATTCCTTAGCGTGACCCTAAGATCAGGGACACGATGCCAAACAAAGAAAGCAAACGATACCACTTCCACCCACCAAAGATTGCGGTCAAAAAACGCGGGAAGGTCACCACGACATACTGTAGCAGCAGACGAGATCCTCAAAATTTGCCTAAAGTCAAACTGACTTTTATGCTCCCATATGTCATCATGATATATAGGGTAAAAAAGACAAACAAGACAAAGATCAAAATACTTACAGATTCATGAAGCAGGTGTAACAAGTTACAACGGTCAATGATCAGCCTTTTCGTTCTATTGCTAGACTATGTAGCCTCAAGTACTCTTTCGGACGCTATTAAAGGAAATCTCATGCACAGAGTGACACAAAAAGACCAGGGTCGAGTAATCGTGCATGGTATCTTCAATATAATAGTATTTAATTCACTTCTCTGGTGTGAATTTTCATCTAATGTGTGAGTCAATTGCGTTGAAACTCCCGCCATATTTATTTTTCCGTGGACATTTCGAAATCTTGTGTATAATATTGGCAGGGGATTTTTTCATTCCTCTTTGGCACACGTGTGTTAAAGAAATGTATCGTAATTTTCCAGAATATTTCAGAAAATGGAATTGGTTAACAACACAACTGCACTATACATGCACCATGGGTGGGCTCAGAAAACGTTGGGCCCACTTTTTGGTTTTAGGGGCCCAATTTGTTTTCATTCTTCAAATATAGCCCCTCCTTGTTGGTTCCGGATCCGCCCCTGAGTATGGTCTCTATTGCACATGCCACGATTTTGAAAAGGAACGTTTCGGGAACTGCTTTATGTACAACGTCAATTTGAAATTATGTGATGCGAGTCAAAATTATCTTGATTTACGTCATTAAGAAATAAAAAATCAGTGTCATATTTGGAATCTACATGTAAAAGTACATCTTTGAAAATGTGACTTCTCGGTCGGGGAGATTCCCCATAGACCCATGTTGTAAAATCACAAAAAGTGAAAAATATATTTTCTTGTATTTAAGGGGCAACAAGGCCTGTAGAGAGAAAATTCGAAAAATTTTACATTTTCTGAGCTATCAGGGCAACATTTGGCCATCTTCTTTGACACATCTATTTTCTTAAAATGTATGGATAAACTATCAATTTTAGCATTAAGGTAATATGTAAATTCAGTTCAAAGCTTCTATAAAGGGAGTCCCACGTATAGATTTTTAAGATCCATCACGTTTCAAGAGGAAACTTTGTAATACCCTGCTATGTTATTTCTCCCGGATTAGCCACCTGGTGGCGAAACTGGTAATGCTACTCGCATCTGAGTAATTCAGGCTTAGAAATAATATTCAAATGAACTTATTTATATACATATTTAATGCTTAGCTTTAACATATATTTGCCTTGTAATGATGGATTTTAATTTTTAAGTCCTCCCTGCTTTTTGTAGATATCAGAGATTTTTTTTACATTTGTTACATTTTCTTTAAAATATCAAATATAAGCTGAAGAGAACTGAGAACTACACTTTAAAACGCTGTATCCAAAAACCTCCCAGTACATAACCCTTATGTATGTCCTTAATATAGATTATAAATAAAAATGGAA